TGTAATATATAATATATATAATATATATAATATGTATAATATATTTTATAGTATATAATATAGAATATAAGTTATAATATATATTATATAAAATTGCTTGTAGGCAGGTAGAAGAAGTTAACCTGAGTTGAAAAGTTTTGAACGAGGGTTTTGATTACATTTCATAAAAAAGAAATTATTAAATAAATTAAGCCAATCATCGCTGACCTTTAGCTGGGCGCATGCCAGTGAGCTGCGCGGAACGCTTATGCACATGTAACGCGTGGTTCACTGACGTGCGTTTAATATATTTTATAGTATATAATATTCATATTGTTCTGAAAATTAGTGCGCAAAACACTGCAGTGTTTAAAATGATGGTACGTTTGATCGACGAATTGATACGAAAGAAACAAAGAGTTGTTTATTCCGATTGGTCAATAGTAGTGTCATCTCGTAGAAATGCGTCTTAATGCATTAGACGAGCACAGTCTGATGCAGAAACGCCTTCCCGCGTGTAGGTGGAGCAAACAGTTTCAGTTGAGAGTTTGTGTGCGCTTTTCTAACAGATACTATTCACTTTTCGGTGACTATTGTGTCGGAGAGAGATGAGACGACCGGACAAACTGTGTCAGTTTGTTTCCGACGAGAGTGTAAGGTTCATCATTATAACCGACGTCGAGCTGTCAAATTTGTTTGTCGCGAAATAGTTCAAGAATCGTTGCAACGCAACACAACGCAACTACCTGGACGCGCGCTTCGTATCTCGGTGGGAATAATTTCTGCAGCAGATAGTACGCGTTCACGAGAGCAAGATGTCTGGTTTTATTTGGTTTCGACGTGATTCGACGTGTGTGTGCATGTGTGTTTGTGTGTGCTCGCGTGTCTCGTACACACAGTGACACGGAGAGAGAGAAAAGCTAGACAGCCATATTAGAACCACATCGCGACTGTAGACATGAAATGTCTTCTATCCTTCACGTTTCATTCTCCCGATATCGCGCACCGTCCCATTATGTTCTCGTGTCAGCGATAAGTGCCACGGCTCGTATTTCCGTGTCCGCGCGTCGTGTTCCGTGTGCATCACGCGTCAGTCGCGTCTCACGTACGTGCGCGCATTTTTTCCACAACAAATCCAAAGGTTGCGAACTTTTTCCTCGGATTTAACCGTAGGAAAAAAAACGTGCGAGAGCTATTTGCGGTTCGGCGTGTTCGGCGCGACGAGAGAGGAGAAAAAGAGAGAAAGAGAGAGAACCGAGAGAAGAAACATGTTTGGAAATCACATCGACAGTGCGACGAAAATGACGTAAAGCTTGTTGCGGTGCGTGTGTTTTCATATATAATAAAGGTGGAAATAATAATACACGGAGAGAAAGTTAAGAAGAGATAGAGGGAGAGAGAGAGAGAGAAACGAAGAGGAAGTGTGCGCGTGAGAACGAGAGAGAAAGCAAGAGGGGAAGAGAGAAAGAATGAGAAAGGAAGAGAGACATGTCAGTGGATAAATTGCAACAATTTGCTTAAAGGGTCGTGGCAACGGAGAAGAGAGGAGAAACTATGGCACTGCTGCAGTCGGAATCGGGGCGAACTACGGATTCATAGTTTTTGCGTTATTATTCTATATGTGTACTGGCCTTTTTTTTTTTTTCACGCGAAAACGCACAGAGATTGCTCATATCCGCGCGCGGCCAATGCGGCGAATAAATTCACGAGGAGAAGCGCAATAACGTCGGCGGGAGTTTCCCTCTGATCGCGCTCTCGCTCTTCTTCAGCTCGGAGAGAAGAAACCGGAGGAGGAAAACGAAGAGAAATAAAAATCCGGAATATTTTGGCACTCGCGCACACACACACACACAAACACTATCTGTGTGTATGTCTCCCTCTCCGCACCACCTGACACGTGCGCTCTGTCCAAGGGAAACGGAGCGGTCTATATATGTCTACGGTGCTTTTGTGCGGCTCGGCTAATAGACTCAAAATTACTGGTATGGTTCTGCGATTCGCCCACGATGTCGGTCTACGCGACGATATTGCCTCTCATCTTTGTGGGGTTATTAGGTAACGTATTGATACATTTGTCGCAACAAACAACGCGCTGCTGTGCGAACGCAAATCTTGTATTTTCCGTTTCGATCTCTCTTTCCCTAGTGTTCGCGCAAAATCGACTTCTTCGCGAAAGAGGAACGGAGAAATTCGAAACAGCAGTTAAAATTCCAGCTATTTCTAAATATTGTTCGGAACTTGATCGACGCGAAATTTCATGAAACTCACGTGTAAACTAATAACGATTGTGCATGTAAACGCTTCAAGGTCGTTTAGCTGAGTGATACACACACAAGAGTTCTTCAAACCTCTCTGTTTGTTTCTCAAACCTTGCTCTTTGTACACAAATGTTTAAAGGACAAGAACTGCCTCTAGAGGCAGTCACTAGTGGACTTTCAATCAGAATCATAAATTTGTGAAAGATGTACACTATATTAGTTTATTAAATTTAAATTTAAATTTAGAATATCAGATCTACAAGATTTCAGGAAAAAATACCGGTTATCTAAGAGTTAAGAAAAGATAACACATGTCAGATTGTCTCTATTGTGGCCAAAATTTTATTTCAGGAACTATATTTGGAAAGGATATTAAAGGTTCTGCCTTTTGTGAGTTTTACAATGACACAATGTGTAAGGCCAACATGTCTGAGCAGGAATGTTCAGGGAGAGAAGAATGCGTCTTGCACGATCCGGACAAGCGTAATCACTGTTACGTGTTATGGGCGATTGACATTGTCACCGAAAAGCCGATAGTCAGATTGAAGGTCAGTTAACAAGGGATCACTTGGCGTTAATTGTTGAAAAAGAAGTGATTTACATATCTTATCGCTGCTGATTGTTTACAGGGTTGTTTCCTAGATAACAATGACTGTTACGACAAAACACATTGTATCGGAGATAAGACCGAGAAGGGATTGTATTTTTGTTGCTGCGACGGTAATATGTGCAACCAAAACTTCACCAAGAATCCACATCCAACGTCATCATCCAAGCCTACGTCGCCTACCGTTACCCATGGTATATTATTTTAACGTTGTGTTTTGTTTGTTGTACATGAATAATAATGTATTCAAGTACAACTCATTTTTGCTTTCAGAATCTGAACCTGTGCCCGATACGGAGCAACGAGCGATAACGCTATCTCTACTGATATCATTTCCTATGCTTCTTACGCTTAGTTCACTTTTTCTATGGTGGTTTTGTCGTCGTCGAAAACTAGGATATTTCAACGAGGTTGCATTTTTTTTTTGAGATTATTTCACAAACAAAACAATTCTATTTGCAAAAATATAAAAAGTTGTATCTCTTCAGGTACCGACGTTGGAACCTCTGCCACTGCCGCAATCTTTACCCAATGTAGGTTTACGACCGATACAACTTCTCGAGATCAAGGCTCGAGGTCGTTTCGGAGCGGTCTGGAAGGCTCAGCTCAAGAATGAGATTGTGGCGGTCAAAGTGTTTCCTATCCAGGACAAGCAGTCGTGGCAGACGGAGCAAGAAATTTTCAAGCTCGCACACATGGATCACGAGGACATATTACATTTTATCGGCGTTGAAAAGCGCGGTGACAACTTGCAGGCTGAGTTCTGGCTGATCACGGCGTATCACGAAAAAGGCTCGCTCTGCGACTACCTGAAAGCGAATGTTGTTACGTGGCACGAGATGTGTAGAATTGCAGAATCCATGGCAAGGTAATTTTTAACATATTAGTTACGACGCGCAAGTCTCCGATGATGTGTGACATGCTTTTATTCAGTTTTAAAGTTTCTTTACACTTTATAATAAAAAACGCAATTCGTTATTATCAGAGGTCTGATGCACCTACACGAGGAGATCCCGGCCAACAAAGCGGACGGATACAAACCGGCCGTGGCTCACAGGGATTTTAAGTCGAAAAACGTTCTGCTCAAGGCAGACATGAGCGCGTGCATAGCGGACTTCGGTTTGGCGCTCATCTTTCACCCGGGAAAACCCTGTGGCGATACACACGGACAGGTAATGCATAAATTGTCTGCGTATCTCATCACGGATAATCTGAATCGTAATACATTTATCACAATAATGAAAATTTTATAATTCTGCGATCACAACAGGTTGGAACGCGTAGATACATGGCGCCGGAAGTTTTAGAAGGGGCAATAAATTTTACCAGAGATTCATTTCTACGTATCGATATGTATGCTTGTGGGCTAGTGTTATGGGAATTAGCTTCAAGATGTACTGTACAAGATGTACGTATCGCCCAACGTGTCTCACGAACCGCGCGTTTCTTTTTTTTGTCAAACCAGTAATTTTGCTGATTGTTTTTCTTATTTCGTCATCAGGGACCAATAGGAGAATATCGATTACCGTTCGAGGATGAGGTCGGTCTGCATCCTACTTTAGAAGACATGCAAGAAAGCGTTGTTCATAAAAAAGAAAGACCGCTTATTTTAGAAACTTGGCGTAAACATCCAGTAAGTAATGCATTTTCATTAAAAGAGAGTTACATATTAACCTTATGCACTCGAGAGGCGATCCTTTCAGTCGCCACTTAATTCGGCAAAATTACAAAGCTTGGTATTCAATATAAGATTCTTGCATAATAATGCAAAAATACATAAAATATATTGAAATAAAATAGTTTTATTCGTTAAGTTACGATTTATTTTCATGTCAGTTGTAAAACAACATTTCATCAGAAAAAAGCTTCGAGTGCAAAAAGTTAAAAGCTGAAGGAGAAACACGTGAGCTACGACCGATTGTGTGTGTGTTTTTTTTCTTCAGGGACTTTTATCAATTTGTGATACGATGGAGGAGTGTTGGGATCACGACGCCGAGGCGCGTCTCTCCGCCTCGTGCGTGGTGGAACGAGTCGCTACTCTTAGCAGAACTCTTGTATTAAATTCATCCACTTTGATTCGAGTTGATAACACCAACGAGATTATTACTACCAAGGAGTCTAGTATGTAGTTAGCGCCTATTCATCCGTTATAATCAGTGACGGGCATTCAGAGAGTCTTCGATACGTTTTTTTCGATAATAATCGTCGTCTACGAGCCATTTGACATTTTTTTCTTTTCGCAAATTCAAAAACACAGAATTGTCTCAGATGTGTCCGTCGCTGATTGTAAGCTTCAGTTTTGACTGGCACAATTTTTGTATCATAATTTTGTTAATATACATATCAATGAGGAATGTTAAAACAATAGGAAAAGACAAACGTATATATACGCTTCGATCACACTTTTTGCTACATTTGATGAATAATTTATTAATTTATTTTTGCGACGTATCACACGCGTGTTATATAATGGCCATTTTTACACATACGCAAGCATGTGTGTACAATTACGTATGCGTTATTTATATACATATTTACGTGCACATGCGCACATATGTGTACAATAACATACATAATACACACAATATGTATACATGTATGAATGAAAACAGCCATTATGTATCGTCCGTTTCGAGACTCCTCTCGCGTTTGCATTTGTCTCGAAAACTTCCAGTTAGAACTCGACTAGATTCTCGCCACTATCCTCGCGCGATTTTGTCGTACGAAACAATCTGAATTTTTTGGAAAAAGTTCGGATACCCTTGTGTAACGAAATCGCGCGAAAGGAAAGTTTTAATTGTTTTTTTTTTTTTTTTTTTAGTAAAGTTTTATGACATCTGGGAGTCTCGGATAAAATTATACATTGGTTAATTATTTTATTTCGATGCCTTTGGACACGACGTTTAAATCTTGACAGATCTAACGCGGGATTGGGGATCATTTTTCCATAATCATAGAACAAGTGGGAATGCAAATTGAATAAAATTATCACACTCTTTTGTATTTTTAACAAATCAAACAATCGCGGAAGAAAGAAACCGCCAAAACTAAAGATAATAATTGAATAAAATATTTAAAACATCTACAATCGACGTAAAATATCGGGAAAATAAAATTCTAAATCTCAAGAATGTAAAAAAAAAAAAAAAAAACAACTTGCAGCTTCACGGACCGCGCGCGATCTACGAAAGGTCAATGAGAAACGATCGTGAAAAGTCCAAGGCCGGTATCGACAGTCCGATCTTGTTCAAGATCCTCTTAAATTTTTATCTCGCGATACGATCTTACGTAAGATCTGAATCATTATTTTGACGGGGAAAAATTTTACAAACAAGAAAAAAAAGACAAAACACAAAAATAAATAAACATACACAAACAACAAACGTTGAATAACGTAAAGTTAACAAATAGTGAAATACCTACTAGTTATCTACTTGCCAAATTATATCGCCTATATATTTATATAATGTGTATATATATATATATACACATACACACACACATATATATATGTATATATATATACATATTATGTTTTGTATATATGAGTGCGCGGTGTGTATGTATGCGTGTGCATAGGAGCGAGAGCGAGAGAATCTCTTGTTTTTTTTTTGTTTTTTATCGTAAATATAATACTCAACCCTTTTGTCAATTCTTGCAGTAATTCGCAAAGAACGTCTCGTGAGAGTTACATAAGTCATACTTCCATTTATAGAGAGAGAAAGAGAGAGAGAATTAGCGGATTATACTTTTAGAAACGTATTTGACGGATATCCGATATTGTTTTGCAACCGACTCCGAGATTTAATGGAGAAAAATAAGCGCGACAGATCCGTGACTTCGTTTAACTTTACTTACACAGTCGAAAACAATCCGCGAGATTCATCAACATATCCTAAATGATATATAAGCGAGCGAGAATGAGAGGAACGAATGAATGAGCGAGCGATAGAGAAAGAATAAACGTTCGGAGCATATTTTGACGATATACTAATGTGTTAATTAATCATTATACCGAGATGTAACATATACAGACCTTACACATACACACACACACACACGTATATAATACATATAGATATACGTTTTTTTTTTACTATGTAGCGTGCTTGAACATTTTTAACGTGTCAAACTTATTTTTATTATTTCTATACGTTTCTTATCGACAATGAGAGTTTTTGAACATCTTAAGAAAGAGAGAGAGAAAGAGAGAGACAATGTTCACACTGTAATATGAAAATTAGAATTAGGTTTAAGAAAATTTACGCGGCATGCGTCTCACAGATTCTTATTGCTGGCAGCTGGCACCAATTACGAGGATTTTAATTTTGTTTGCAAAAACGTAAGAAAGTGCTTTTTAAAGTCGCGACAAACAGATCGGCGGCGCTTTGTGTTTGCGCGACTGGCATCGTCTTCAAGATCTGTTGCAAATGTAAAAGTACACGCCAAATTGCAAAGCGTTTTGTTGAATTACTTACCAGTTGATTCCGAACTTGGTTAGTTAAAACTTTGCAAAAACTTTTTAGCATATCCGCGGTTGGAAGTAAAGTCGGAATATTTCGAGCGAGAAAACAGGAGTGTGTGTATAGAACATGTATATCTGTGTGTGTTCGCGCACACATCCCATCGATTTTTTTTTTTTTACCGAGTTGTTTTGAACCAATAGATTTGTTTTAGAGATAAAAATGTGTACATATATATATATATATATTTCTTTTGAAGCTTCGCGAGTAATTTGCGCATCGCCGTTTTGAAAAAGAAGAAAAAAAGGAACAAAAAAACACGCACAACTGTACATACACACACACACACGCGCGCGCGCGTACGTAATATGTGCCACTGACATTCCTCATTGATTACTGGAAGCGCGGCAAATTGACTCGATCCACACACACACACACAGATACACACACACACAAAGTGTGCTAAATGAAAAATCCAGCGAAGCCTTTTTCCTATACAAAGAGCCACGTCATTTAATATATATACAATATACATATATATATATATATATATATATACATAATATATCATTACATGTAAAACTGATAATATAATCTTATTATTGCGTTGTGACTGGTTACAACAGTTGTCGTTGCTTATGTTTGAGACTGGCATTGAGGCTGAAAATTGGATGTGTTCTGGCCGCGAAAAAAAAAGGAAAACAAAATTTCCGGGGATGCGAGAGAAAGAGAGATAATTGAATGAGAAAACCGGTGGTGCTTAACGACGTGTGTATGCGAGACGCGCGCGTGTGTGTGTGCGAGCGGAGAGAGAGTTCGTTCCTGTTATATTGTGTTAGCCAATAAGTAATGTAGGATTTTTTTTTCATAGAGCGTCGTTTCTACTGTTTTCGAAACACAAGACTATTCACAACTTATAAAAACGAGAGTATAATTTGAAAGCTGACATTTAAACGTGTAATCAAAAATAAGTTTATTATATTTTTTTTATTTATTTATTGAGCGCTTATTTTGGCTTAAACATGGATAACAAAGAGATGTACTTTCGTGCAATTATCGTCACTCCCTACGTATAATTACATAAGTGTCACATATGGGATTTTCAGTTTATTGCATAATGACACTTAGAAAGTCATGTTCTTTATGGTCACCAAATATTAAAAAAAAATATTCATAAATAAGGTACAAATTTGAAACCGNTAAAAAAAAATATTCATAAATAAGGTACAAATTTGAAACCGAAAGATCCCTAACTATAGGGAAACATATGAAGCTTTATACTTTTAAACTGCTCTCCTCTAAAATTTGCGTTTTGGAGTTACGGGATTATACGTAGGGAGTGACGATATGCTCTTTTATTTTTGCTAAGATAAAAATGCAGTACAAACAAAAACAAATTCTGATGTTGGTACTGTGAATACAAAGAAAGGTACAAAGGTGGTAAAGAGTATTGCTTTATGAGCTTCTGCTTAATCAGACCATGAACTTAGATAAGTCTGATATTTGATGCTTTCGCGGTTTGTTGTATTAATATTCAAAGATGTTTTTCGGGTTTGAACCGCGTTGTATTGTCATTTTTATACCGGTATAAAAATGACACTAACGCGATTCAAACTCGAGAAACATCTTCGAATGTAAACTCTGATAAGTATTGCTCACAATTAGATTAAACGAAAACATTAAGAAAAAACGATCGGAACTTGCCTGTAAAAAAGGAGTAATTTTCCATCAAGACATGCGAGGTCTCACGTAATCAATACAGACTCGGCAAAAATTTAAGAGAACTGAATTAGGAAGTTATTAATATATATCACATACACACATCCACTTTATTCACCTGACTTAGCATCATCTGATTTTCATTTATTTCGTTCTCGGCAAAATTCGCTGAGTGAAAAAAATTTTGATTCTTTAGAACTCTGCGAAATGTGTATGTTTCAACATTTCTTGCTGAAAACAATTTCGAAAGAATGGTATCATGAAGTTACCTGTAAAATGGTATAATTGCACGAAAAAATACATTTCTTTGTTACCCACGTTTAAACCAAAATAAGTACTCAAGAAAAAGTCATCGATCAAAATGGTTAATACGTTAATGAATAGTTTTCTGTATTAAAAAATAATTAATTTTGTTTTTTATTGCTGAAATATTAGGAATATCGAAATCCAGTGTTAATAATAACTATCTGCGTCAACTTGATTAATTTCCAGATATGACGTTTGAGTTCCACGATTTAAGTGAACAAAATTTAATCGATCGAATTTCGGATTGTGATTTATTACTTATTGGCCAATCCAATAATTACTTCTCAAAACATAAGCAACGATGTATTGAGTCTTGTTTGTTATAAAGTACCTGGTAGTTACAATCGAATTAATAGAATTGAGGAATTTATTGACATCTTTCCACACATACACATACATACAACACGATGAGGTAAACACACACACACACATACACAGCACACGTTTGATCGATTTGTATTTTGCGACATCATCTCGGCGCGGTTTTTATTTACGGATTTTATTACATGTAATTTGTTTTTATATAAGGTTTAAGTAAGAAAAACAGAAACTCTAATCATCACAGGTTTAAGATACTAATCGTTGCGCAAACATGTATGTTTCACGCGTGGCTCTATAATTTAACGCAATTTACGTATTATTTATTGTTACCAAATAATAATACGCGTTTGAGTTTTTTTTTTTATTTTTTAATTTTCTCGAAAACCAAAAAAAGAGCAATCGGCTTAATGTATGTAAGCGAGGTCGTTTTTCTTTTTCTTTTCATTTTTCGAAGCAATTTCTTTGTCAGAGTAGGAGTAATAATGTACATGTATATACGCGATATATAAGTATATGTAAGGATAATGTAGGATATAAATTATTCATATTTATATCAGCAACGTATACGTTGCAATCTATCGAAAGGAGCAATGAAATAAGTGTTTTTATTCCATAAAAGAAAAAGCGACAATTTCAATATAAATCTATTAAAACAATTAAACACCGAGAGAGAGAGAGATTTTGTTGCCCCCTGTTTCTAACGCAATTACAATTGTTGCAATTGATTAATTTTGTACACACCATGCAATTTATATATTTATGTACTTTTCAGATATAAATTAATTTTAACAAGTTAATTTTACACCCCAGACAGCACGTGACCTCCAAGAGACGACTTCGAAACGTCTCATCGTCTCTTGGAAATCTTCAAGATGTTCTCAGATGTCCTCTCCGTGCGCTGTCTGGGATGCATTTTGCGCGCGCAATTGTCACAAAGTGATGATTAAATATCGCGCGTGTCGATTAAAATCTTCAAAAAAAAAAAAAAAAAAAAAAGTGTTTCAATCCGCGCCGTCGAAAAAAATCCGAACAGCGCGTTATTCGATACGAGGAATAAATCGCGCGTTTCGAAACGTTGCCAGACTCTACCGGCTGTGTGTATATATAATTGCTTCTTCTTTTCTCGAAATTGGAACCATATCCGAGCGCTCTTTGAGAGGATAATGCGTTGCCATTCGAATCGAGAGGGAGGAGGAAGGAGACTCTGCAAGAACTTTCGCAAACGCGAATATCGTTACACACATCGTTGTACTGAAGATATTGTGATGATTGAAAAAAAAAAAAAAACCGATTAAAATAAATGAGAATTTTCACCAACTTTTCTATGTTGTTCTTTTTTTTGTGTTTTTTTAAATTAGTTGATTATTCGCGAACTTCACGTATCCGCGATATCACGACGTCGTCGTCGTCGTGGTGTGTGTGTGTGTGTGCACGTGCTGTCACCTTCGATGTTCACGCAAAGCAGCCCGGCGGAATGCGAGGAAATTATACAATTTCCGGTCATGTGCCGCGATGGGGGTTTCAACCTTCTTTTTTTTTGTTCACGCGCGCGCGCACACATACACACACACACACACACACGTTACCGTTCGCCGTCGTTGACAACAACGTGCACTTGACATTCGTCCGGTTATCCGCTCGCATGCGGAGTCGCAATGCAATTTCGCGACGGAACAAGCATGCACTTTGATCCGAAGAGACGTGCGAGACCGACGTAAAATTCTTCGAGTATTCCTCTGCTTCCGCAATCTAATCCGTACAACGACGATTTCGATCGTGCAAAATCTGCGACGAGTCTTTTACACGGGGGCGAGGGGAGGTGTACGTATAAATATTAAAAATATATATATTTTTTTTTTCAAATTAAACTCGAAGTTTTTTACTCGCGATGTTACATGTATGCGAGAAACAAAGGGCTTGAAGAGGACACTGAGAAGGGAGGCGTGGCGGTGTGGGGGTAAGTGTAGAGAGACGGCGAGGGGGAAAGGTGGAAAAGGGTGCTGGAGAAGAGGATAAGGGGTGCACCCTCTCTCGCTCGGACAGAGAGAGAGAGAGGAGAGAAAAAGAGAGAGAAAAAATAAAGAGAAAGAGGACAATCAGATTTTAGGGAGGCGTTTACGGTCCGCATTCTTCCTTCTTCCATTAGTCGCATAATCGACTCTCTTTTCTAACCCTAATCCTTGCCGCCGCGACCATCGGTGGCGGTGGTGGTACGTGTCTTACCGCAACCCTCGCCTCCACCGCCGCTTATCCTTGTCCCTCCGCCGGTTAGGCGCGACCAATCCCCTCTGTGCAAAACCCCTCTCTTAACAGGCTCTTTCCCATACCACCCTCGGCGGATCGATGCGCGGTGGGTGACTCCTTCACCCTCCGTGGCGCGGCGCTGTTGTCGCTTAAGCGCCGCTCAGTCCGAACGCAGGGTTCACTCAGTCGACGAACGTTTGCCACGAGACTTCGATCTCTCCACTGCATTTTGCACACGCTATCCTTATCTCTCTCTTTTTCTATTCACTTACCTGCATCTGTCTCCACTTTTCCTTTTTCTCCGCTTGGTAGATAGAGAGGCCCCAGCAGCGGCGACCGGGGAAGGCGTGCGTAGTAACCGCGCAACGGTTCACGTCAACGGAAGTCTCGCCGTTATACCCTCGTGCTTTCGGTTACTTCGACCTATATAGTCAACCCGTACAACCCCCGTTTGTCCGCTTCGACCGGTTGCGGATCTACCTGCGGCGCAGCGAGGTGAGTGGGCGACCCTATCGCACATCTACACCTTCACACACGCTTAGCCTTCCACTGGCATCAAATACAGTGCATTCCTTGAGCTTTATCTGCTAATTTTCAAACGCGCACACGTTTTATCCGCAAATTTGTATTTTGTCTTTCGTGCGTCTTGCTTGAAAAATTTTTTTTTCGCACCACCACCCTTTCGCGCGCGCACACACACACACACACACACACACAGGATTTTTATTTCGCGTAAGGTTTCTTTTTCCATTTTTCCGCGGATATTTTTTTCATCCTCGCACACAACAATATACAACTAAAATTCTCGCTTACATAAATACACGAAGCGCACACATACGTGTGCGCACACATTTTGAATGTGTATTCAAGATCGAATTTATTGTGAATTTCGAAATGTGCGAACTTTCGAAACAGTTTTTTCTTGGAATGAAAAACCAAGTTGAACTTAAAAAGAAAACCACATCACATACATCTTGTAATAAAAATTTAAATACGGTTTTTCGATATTATTCGAAGAATGTAATTCAAAATAAAAATTGCGATCTAAATTAAGTGTATTTATAAAAAAAAAAAAAAAAATTGGCTTCCGACAAATTTAAACGTAAATTCAATCTCGAGATTTGTCGCAAGCTTTTTATTTTTTTCAAGCAACGGAAAGTATACGTCGAGCAAGAAGAAGAGATGTAGACGCTCGCGTACGTTCTCCTATTTTTTAATAACATTAAAATGTGTCTAAATTTCTTTCTCCTCTTTCTCTCTCTTTTTTTTCTCCTCAAAGACGTTTGTTTTATTAAGAGTAACGAAAGCACATTAAAAGAAAACAAAATTTGTACGAACATTTTCGTAAAAGATATTCAAGTCGCAAAAACACGGCACTTATGGGGAAAAGTGTTTGTTTGTCCTTTTAATATTGATGCAATTTGAGCAATTTGCGAATACGGAGTTGTCTAAAATAAAAAAATAAAAGAGAGTGAGAACGGGGGGAGGGGGGGGATACTAATTACTCGTTAGTAGCCACATTGACAATCAATAAGAAAAATGTTTTCGATTCTTACAAAACCAATACTTCGACGAATTTCTTCGAAAAATCATACCGACTGATTTATTCTCGTGTTTAAAACACAGCGTCCATTTTTATTTAAATTTAATCGATTAACTTTTTTCATCATCCTCGAATAAAGTATTTATTATTTATTAGCGCAACTCTCTTTTTCGAGACCCATTCGGTTTTCTCAGACATACTCTACGCGTATCGAATATCCAATGTGTATTTTAGTTCATTGGATATCTCTAGTGTATATTCTCTCTCCCGCGCGGCTTATGGTCTCACACGGTGCTGTCATCTATTGGCAGAGACAAGCTTAAATAATATTCGCTAATATATATTTGACACAAAACTGTCCTGAAAAGAGATTGCCTTGGTTGCGCTTCTTCGGGGAAAAAGAGAACTCATTTCTTTTTCACAAGCTAAAACAAGGTCGGATCCGAATTCTATATTTAAGATCTCTCTATTTTCAATTTGTTTTATTTTACATAAAGTTTTTTTTGTTTTTGCGCGACGTGTTTGCGCGAAATGTGTTCTCGATAACGGATTTAAAATAATGTTTCCCCGAGACAAATCCGGATTTCAAGTAACGATGCGAGATTAATCGATGCGAAATATCCGCTTTCTCTCTCAATTTGCATTTTCTCGAAACAGTGAGAGAGAGAGAGAGAAAGAAACCTCGAAACGTGAATTCTTGATAAGCGAAAGGTCAGAGGATATTCGCGAGATCCTCCACCGAACCACGTCGCTCGATGTCGTTTCGGACAATCGATTCCACAAGCTGGACGACCGTGTTATACGGATCGCGTGTTACACAGAAATTGCCTTCTCGCATGAGAAGTCGCATCAATTATGGACAAGCTACGCGGGTCCAGACGATTCATCGCATCTGAATATTCTCACATTATGACGTTTTCGATTCCGTTCGTCTCGAAGGTGAAACATCTGACAGTCGGAGATTTTTAATATTAATTCAACCAAAAAAACATGTCAAATGCTCAGAATTTGACTTTTGTTACATGAGAAATCGACTGGAATTCTCTCTTGAAATTATTTGCATTTCACGACGCAAGTTTTTATTACCTTCGACTAAAACACAAGTGACACATATATTATATTTTTCGTGTTTTTTATTTTTTATATTGTAGTAGCCTCTTGAATGTTTTCTTTTTGCCATAATTAATCTTGCGACTGATGACGACTCCAACTAAAGATCGAAACGTTCTGTCTAATATTATATAATATTATATAATATATTTCTTATCTTCTTGTTATCATTAAGTTTGCAATTGACAAAGACTCTAATAAAAGCTCGAAACGTTTTGTTTAATATTGTGTGACATATTTCTAATTTTTTGTAAATATTTTTAAGCAACATTTTGTGTCTTATACAACATCTTTGTAATTCGCAATCGACCTAAATTACACGTTTTTGTAAATTCACTCAACGAGTGTTCTGTGTGCTCTTTCTTTTTGATTAATTCAATTTAGACAGTCGCAAAATTATCTCAACAGTTGTCGTATAATGTGAATATTCAGAAATAAAGCTTCGTCGTACGTACGTACGATGCAATTTCGTGCGCGAAGGACGATTTCTCTCGACAGACTGCGCTAAGTAACTACTTGCGACGCAAAAAATGGTCTGCTGCAATAATTAAACGAAAGAGATGTGTCGCGCGGAGATGACGTCAAAAAAAAAAAAAAAAAAAAAAAAAGACCAGCGTCGCAGGCAAAAAATATATGTCGCTCTGTATGCAATCCTTATGCAATTCACGACAAATTTAATCTCGCGCCGTTAAACTATATTGGCCGAATAACTATCGCGAACATGGAGATTCGATCAATAATGAAACCGTATCGGTAAACACGGCATGAAAAAAAAAAGTTTGCATTTTCCCTTTGTGTCAAGTAAAAAAATATAAAAAAAAATTGAACGTGTCACGTGTAATGGAAATGTCACGATTTTTAATTTGAGTTTTTTTCGCCGTAGTATATCGAAAGCGATATCGAGAACTCACGCGCGGAAAGATAAAGTCTAATCGCGCTAATTTCGTAAAAATTATTATCGTTACTTTACGATTTACCGCCGCTGATGCGCAAAACGCGCTGACGGGGGTTGAAGGTGGAGGACCCTGCTCGCGCGCGAGGGGAGTGCGCGGACGATACTGTTCAGCGCATAAAATATGCATGTAGGTGCGCATGTTGATGAGTGCATGCGAAGGCAAGTAAATCTCGCAGTCGCGATTCACTCGCAGACTGCTAAATTACCACTCGAGTTAATCCGAGTATGAACTGATTGCGTATATACTCGCCCGGCGGGAGGTCGAGCAAGGGAAGAGAAAACGCAAAACATCCTATACAGAGAGAAAGCGAGAAAGCAAGAGAAAGAAAGAGAGAGAGAGAGAGAGCAGCATCCTCAACTGCTAGTGTCCGCCGCTGTTATTTGTCTTATTTGTGTCCGAATGTAAAGAAACGTTAATTTCGCCAAAGAGAAGGGAGAATGAGAGGATCTCGTCTCTCGTCTCCGTCCTCGCCGGAAAACAAAAACCAGGACGTACACTCCGTGTATGTTCGTGTTGCGCTCGCGTGCGCGCGTTTAATTTGTTTTATATGGAGAAACGTTCATTACGCAATTTCACAAAGAGCAAAATTTCGTGGGAAAGTTTCTGGTTTACCGAAACGTTTATTTTAGAATGCGGTTTGGATTTTCCACTTTGGGACTGAAACCGTAATCGTTTGTGAATAAATCAAAGGTCTCTTTTTAACGAGATTCATCAAACGGTATTCTCTTTGCGCGCGCGCGCGAAAATTACTTTTGAATGGAGTTGCAACGAATATCAGACAGGCGAATATTCGCAGGTATTCCGTCTATTCGGCTAACGAATTTTTATCGCTCGAATAGTTTTAACTGTAAAAATGAAAAAAAATTTAGAAAGCAGCGGCTAATGGACAGTTGCCACCTCGGCCGCGCACAGTTTTTTTCATGCTCGAGTATTTTATTCATTTACTTGTATCTAAGTAAAATTAATGTACGTCTAATATAGTACCTTATCTAATTTATGTATCTAACAAAATTAAATTAAATAAAACTTAAGTAAAATTTAATTGTTCCATAATGTACGCACGCATTTATTTAATACACACTAATTGTAAACCACAAAAGAAAACAAATTTGACGATTAAACTCATATCAATTTAATATGTAAATTTTTCTGACGTTAATTGCTCAATTATAATCTGTCATTAAGAGAAAATAATTCTATAAAAATAAACAATCGATAATTTTGAAACAAATAATTTTTTCAATAGTAGAAACGCGCGTTTGAAATTCGAACTATCTAACTTCTAACATTCGTTACATCTCTACTTTTTTTGAGATACAAAATTGTTAATAGTCCGACAAATTGGAGATGGAAAGCACTTGGAAATTTAATGACTGACCTTCGAACGCGAGATTTATTGTTTACACATCTATTGCTGACGACGAATTCGCGATGAATTTGATCAATGGGAGAATCGCTCGTTTTTTTTTTTTTTTTTTATCACACGTCACCTCTCCTTAAATTTCCATATCGCGCGAGAGGACCTTGCATTAAGCGCGTAATTTATCTCCGAATGTGGCCTTCGTCCCAGATTTTTTGCGGACGCGGGGCAGAGAGAAATGTCTCAGGACGGATCTCTCCGAGAGAGTTGCGCCCTCCCGAACTGTCATGTTCTATTGGCCGCTCGCTCAGACTATTTGCTCCTTTTTGCGCATTAAGGGCCACAACGACGAGAAAGCGAAGACGGGGGAGAAGAGACGCGGGGGGAAAGATTACACGTGCGCGCGATTCGCGTGTGATTTATTGCGGTCTTTTTCATTTTTTTTCCCTTCGCGTGATCAATCGCGATCTGAGTAGAGTTATTCAACGCTTCGTGCGGAAATCGTTCGATATCAAACGACCGCGCG